ATAAGGCACCAGAAAATCTGGGGGTAACCTAACAGTAGTCTAAGTAATAGGAATATATTAAGTAGGTAGAAAATAAGATGATTTGAATTTTTATTCCTCCTTTCATATATTTATTCCACACTGCTACTTGAGAAATTGGGGCAGGGGTGTGATTTAATAGTAACATGAAAATTACCTACCAAACCAAGGGAGGTGCAACAAATGAAATCGTCTATGGACTTTTTTCCCATTTATAATGTAGACCTTTCTAGAAGAAACAACCATGTAAGAGTTATATGACTTTAATAAATAAGTATGAAAGCCAAATAAAGCCTTAATGGCAAATTGAAATATTGATAAACTGCGAATCCCTGAAGCAGCGATTTTCAGAATGAGCTCAAGGCTGGTGTATTGCCCTGTGAACTTCGGGGTACAAAAAAATGCTTTCTTTTGTTTTTGCCCTATTTAATTGTCTTCTGAAGGACTTTGTATCCAATCCAGCCAAAAGTCTGGCCCTTGAAATTTATTGCTAAAATTTGAATCTATTTTCTTGTAGTTTCATATTATTCAAATTGAAGAATATTAGTTTAGAAAATATTTTCCTTTTCCCTAGATACCTAAATCTGAGCTCAGTCATCATTTTATGCAGCTTTTATTGAGTCACAAGCACATTTAGGAGGCTGCTGCTCTTTAATGTGGGAGATGAGCCCCCACATTCAAAGGGAAAAGTTACTGTCAGACCTTTAATGCCATTCAGATGTTTTGAGATTATGTAGATACATCAAGATTTTTACTGTTTGAACTTCTACTTACAATTTATACCCGGGGAGGGAGTATGACCAAAAAATATAGCGGTTAGGTACGATCACTGATTTTTTAAAATCCTGCCAGATCAGTGATAGATAACTGTAACATTCATTTGAGTAAGATATGGCAGTTTTTAAAGCTCCAGTATATATAATAATGGGGTCAATACACATTATCAAATATGAGGTTGAAAATAGCAAATTCACCTTGAGTGCTGAAGAAAATAATTCAGAGTATAGTACATTGTGTACTGCTCTTGAGAAGAAGTGTGTGTGTGGGCTGGGGATTTAGCTCAGTGGTTCCAGCAGCTGCTTTGCAAGCGCAAGGACCCGAGTTTGATCCCCAGTAGCAAAAAAAAAAAAAAGAATAAGAAGTGTCAGTGGCAAGAGCACAGGTTAGGAATCAGCAAGCCAAGGTTAAAATCTCAATTCTGCTACTTGTCTGGCTAAAGAACTTGAACAAGTCATTTAGCCCCTCCGCCACACTGTGAACTTATCATTTCATCTGTGAAATGCTAAGTTGTTTTCCAACCTCATTGTGTCCCATGTGTCCACAATTATGAGGCGCGTCTATACTATTATTAAATTATGACACTTTGCTGAATTTCATACTTTAAAAACACCAAATGAGTTCTTCCAGTTGTGGACAAGATTAAAAAATGTCTTTCGTGTTTTCCTCCCAGAATTATAGCACCCAGCAGCACAAGAAACCAAAAATTTAAAAAAAATTATAACAAAAGACCCTGAACAAGGTACCTGTATTAACTATGAAAAGATTCTGAGAGTTGGAAAAAGGAATGTGGGTTTGTGGGAACCTCAGGATTTAAGGAACAGTCCAGTAGCCAGTCCTCTGGTGTTATGTGTTTGTGCCTTCTGTGTATCCCTGCCTGATTATAAGATACCTACAACTTATAAATTCCAACAGGCAGGAAGAAAACAGAAAAGTAAGCTTTTCTTAGCAAGTACACTGGAAAAAGTGTACCCCTGTACAATGGAAACCTTGTAGCCATACCTACTGTTCTCCATAAAGATTCTCCGTGAGAAAAGCTGCTACCTCTCCTCAGTGAGTACTGTAGCAAGCAGCAGTTTTAGCCCTATTTTCCAGCCCCACTCTGCAGTACTGGGGTGCGAATCTGAGAGCAGAGCCCCTGACCTCCACTCCTACCTTGTAGTAGTCAAGTGCCACCCAACTTTGGCTGAGCCTGTGGGTGGCACCCTGACTTTTACCCACACCCTAAGTAGAATAGACTCTAACAGAGTAGCAGCAGCATGTCAGCCCAAGCCTGTGAATGTTTCCATCCCTGTGAGTCTGTTTTCTTCCCTCATCCGCAGAAATGAGGTGGCTAAGACCATGACCAGAACTCTGGCTCCCGTGCCTGCCCTACAGTTCATTGCAAACCAAATTACTTGTCCCCAACTGAGTTTGTGGGCCCAGCCCTGACATCCATCCTACTTGTCATAAGTGGCACTGCCTAGAGAATGTGGGGTAGAATTCCACCATATGGTATCATGAGTGAGGCAGGCACAATAGCATTACAGAAGTTTTACAAACTAGCCTGATATTGGAACAAGATACAAAAGTGAGTCGGATCATACATTCTAAATCTGAAGTTGACTGCCTCCTGAGATTGAAGATTTTAATTAGAACCATATTCTTAACATATTCCAAATTTCCCAAATATAATTTGGAGCTGCTTATTGTAGCAAGAACCAGGAAAATCTCAACAATCAACAAATGAAAATACTGAGATGACACAGGCACTGGAACTGACAGACAAGAAAAGCAGCTGTAATAAAAATGCTTCATTGAACAACTAACAATACTCTAGAAACGCATACAATAACAAACCAAAGGGAGGGCTGGGGATTTAGCTCAGTTCTTGTGCCTGCCTCACAAGCACAGGGTCCCAAGTTTGATGCCTGGTACCAAAAAAAAAAAAAAAAAACTAAAGGGAAGTTTTGGAGCTGAGACTTAAAATAACTGAAATAGACTCATTGGATGATGGGCTGAATCAGATGAAGATGAAAGAGGCTGAACCAGTAAACTTAAAGATAGATCAATAAAAATTATACAGTTCAACCTAGGCGTGATGGTGCATACTTGTAATCCCATCTACCCAGCAGGCTAAGGCAAAACAATTGCAGATTTGTGGCCAGGTTGAGCAACATCTTGTCTCAAAGGTAAAATTTAACCAGACTGAGGATGTACCTCACTATTAGAGTGCTTGCCAAATGTGCATCGAGGCAGTGGGTTCAATCTGCAGTACCAGCAAAAAGAAAAAGACCTGCTTACAAACTACATGTTCCCCTCTTGGGCTGGTTTTGCAAGGAGTCAACATAAAGGTTTTATGAATTTAAAAACAAAATGGTGGGCCGGGGATTTAGCTCAGTGGTTCTGCCGCCTGCTTCGCAAGCACAAGGACCAGAGTTCGATCCCCGGTACAAAAATAAAAACAAAGTGGTTATGGTTCAAAGGTGATATTTTAGTTGATTTATTCAGCTATAGCTTATCACTTTTTCAATCTAATTGAGCAAAATATTTGTATTCCTCTCTGTCCTTTCTAAAATTACACTGTACTCTTATTGAAAACTAAATTGCCTCGAAATATTAACCAGAAAATGTTTGAGTTCTGACATCTTAGAAATTATAGCCCAAGAGCTGGGGATTTAGCTCAGTGGCACTGCACTTGAAGGTCCTGACTTTGATCCCAGTACCCCCCCCACAAAAAAAAGTGTGTGTGTGTATGTGTGTGTGTGTGTGTATACATACATACATATCCATTCCAGCAAAATTACAAAGCAAAGAAACAACTTTGGTGGAATCACCATGATAAATACATGTGTTAAAAGTGTTTGGGTACATTACTTAACACCCTTGCACTTGATTTCTTCTGATATGAGAATATTTCATAGAATATTGTCAGTCTTAATAAGCGTGAAACACTTAGAATAGTGCATGGGAATAGTAAGCCCTCAATAAATGTTAGCTCACAATGATAGTAACAAATAATAATTATAGCTATTTTGGGCTACTAGATAAATTATATATAATCATATAGAGAGTGGATTATGTATGGATATAAATAGGAGCTGCACTATTTTAAGAGGACCCTAGATACTCATACCTTTGGAGTTCTCGTTCCATTTGGTATCAAATGTACTGAAATACAATTATAGCTCACATTAGAAATACTTTATATTGTGCTTCTTTAGCCACACATTGGCTTATTAGTGTTTTCTTTTTACTTCGGTGGTGCTGGGGATTGAACCCAGGATGTTGTGCCTGCTAGGCAAGAACTCTACCACTGAGCTATATCTCTAGCTCCTAAATGTAATTCTTATATAACGTAAAAGAAATTGATTTTTAGTTTGAAGTTTGTCATTGCTTTGTGCTACCATAGCAAAATACCACAAACTAGGTAATTTGTAGAACAAAGTTTTCTTACAGTTCTGAGGTCTGGGAAGACCCTGATCAAGGTTGCCCACATCTGGTGTGACCTTTCTCACTGCACCTCCACATGGTGGAAGGCAGAAGGTCAAGAAAAGGTGAATGCTTTGTCTTCATCTGGCAGGAGAGAGAGCCCCTCCTGCAAGCCCCTCCTGTGCTAGCATTGATCCATTCATGAGGACAGAGCTCTCATGAGCTGAACACCTTCCAGCCCACACTTGTCACACTGTTGCATGAATTTTGGAGAACACAAGTGCATTCAAACCACAACACTGGCTATTTGATGTGATATTATATAAATATTTAAATAGTTTTTCATTTTTTCCTCTCATATACTCCTGGGCTCACATAACAAATACGATGGATATGGATAAGCCAGGCCTTATGCACACACCTATAATCTCAGCACTTTGGGAGGCTGAACCAAGAAAATCAAACCCAGTCTGAACGTCTTAGTGATTCAGCATGACCTGTGTCAAAATAAAAGAGTGGGTGCTGGGGATGTATCTCAATTCCAAAGCCCCAAGTTTAGTCTTCAATATCAAAAATAAATAAATAAAAAGGAATAAACTAGAATTCTGGCGGCCTAGGTTACAGCCAAAATTTTCCAATAGGGAAGAAGGGAATATTGCTTTGTCACCCTGAAGGAGCTGCTGGAGGCTAGACCACTTTAAACCTCATCGCAGCTGGAATGCTTTTTGCTAAACTAAGCCCTCTGCAGTGCTCACAACTGTGAAATTAATGAATTTTTTTTATTCTTCTCTTAGATTGTGGTTTGAATGTTCATAAGCAGTGTTCCAAGATGGTCCCAAATGACTGCAAGCCAGACTTGAAGCACGTGAAGAAGGTGTACAGTTGTGACCTCACGACGCTCGTGAAAGCGCACATCACTAAGCGGCCCATGGTGGTGGACATGTGCATCAGGGAAATTGAGTCTAGAGGTGAGGCACTGCCAGCGGGCTGTGACATCTCCGTTTCCCACCACGAGTCCCAGCTCCTCTCTGGGGGCCACAGTGTACTACACTGTTGTTGTCTCTTCAGTAATTGGGGGAGAATGGTTTCAGATGTCCCATGATCTAAGTCTGAAATGAATTAACAAAGTAAACCCTGCTGGGTTTCAAGGTATCGAATATATGCTTAATGCTAGGTGTGGTGGCCTATGCCTGTAACCCCAGCACTAGGGAGGCTGAGGCAGGAGGATTGCCTCAAGTTCAAGGCCAGCCTGGGCTCCATAGTGAGTTCGAGAACAGCCTGGACTACAAAGAAAAACCCTGTCTCAAAAAAACAAAAAAAGATAAAATATGCATTAAAATATATTTATGGATGATGCTTCATGCCTGCAAAAGTTGACATGTGGAGACAGATTTGTTTTTCAGTTCTCATATTCATCTTCAAGAAACAAAAGTGTAAAATGTCCTATCAAAATTATCCAAGGCCAAAAACCAGAGCTATACCCTAATTATTCTTTCCCACATGGGAAAATCTTCTGCAGACCTAATACCATTTGTCTTAGTCCTCTGTTATGTAAAAGAATTCATGTGGTTAATTGGGGTGGTGAATTATTTCCCTTGAGACTTAACATTGTTTCATCTAATTAGACAACATGATGAGCCAAATTATAAATATCCACGTGATAGGAGGTCAGAATTAAAGAACTGTGAATGACAGTTTTATTTTAGAAAAAAAGTGTGGAAAGAGTTTCTAATTGTATGTATTTATTGTTTTTCTGACATATTACTCCCCAGCCTAAAGTATGGCGAGAAATTAAAATTTAAAGAGGCACAATTCCAAAAAGTTAATTTGCTCTCATGCTGTATTTTGGGTTTTTTTTTTTAAACAGGTCTTAATTCTGAAGGACTATACCGAGTATCAGGATTTAGTGACCTAATTGAAGATGTCAAGATGGCCTTTGATAGAGGTATGTTCTTTAGCACACTCATCAACATAGAATGGTCTTACTCTTTGCCAAAATATCACAAATTCTTCTGGGTTCATTTTTACATTATTTTTCTAAAAATCATTGATTATCGTATCCCCCAAAAAACCAGTTTCATATTTTGTATTAGTTGTAAGCATTAAACTGTCAGATTTCAAAGTAACAAAGAAAGTAGCACAGAAAGTTTAAACTTACACATTATATTTGAAATCAGGATTCCTTTAGAAAATAACTAATAAATACTGGAGCAGAAGCCTGTGGCAGAAGAGAAGGAAGCTTGCTTTTTCCTGAGTAAAGTGTTGAGAGGTGGTCTTGCCTTTGTCATTCTCCACCTTCCTGCCCTGCCCATTCCAGGTCCCTACACCCCAGCACCTCAGACTCCCTACAAGCTAAGCCGGGTGCAGACTCTGCACTGAAGGCACTCTCTGTCCCAGTGCTGCCTGCCACTGCGGCTGCTGTACCCAGTGAGAAAGGGGACATGCCCAGTTCAACTCACAGTGACTGTATCTGAAAGGTTGAGGTATTTGCATTTTTAAAGAAGCTGGATTTTTTACAATGGACTTTAGTTTTAGGTTTTCAAAAAATTTGAATGGAAAGTAGCTGTCTTTCATAATCCACAGAGCCCTCTTACTAATATCTTAAATTGATTAGAGTACATTTGTTATAGTTGGTAGCCCAACAGTAATAATTTTGTGTGTGTGTGGTGCCAGGCATCGAACTCTGGTCCTTGTGCTTGCTAGGCAGGCAGCAGAACCACTGAGCCAAATCCCCAGCCCTGGTTATACTTTACTATTAAAGTCAATAGTTTATACTAGGGTAACTACCATTACAGGACACTATCAGGAAAATCCCTTCTCATTCCTTTCTTCCTTTCCCCACCCCCCAATCCTTGGCAGCCTCTAGTCTTTTTACCATCACTGTACTTTTTGCCTTTTCCCAAGTATCTTAATTGTAATCATACATTATGGAACCTTTTCAGGCTGATTTCTGTCACCAACATGCATTTAAAAGTTCCTCTGCCTTTTCACAGCTTGACAGTTCATTCCTTTTTATTGCTGTATAAAATTTCATGGTATAGATATACCACAATTAATCTGTTCACATATTAAAGGACATCTTGGTCACTTCCAACTTTTTGTCAATTATGAACAAAGCTTTTATAAACATTTGTGTGCAGGTTTTTGTGTGGACCTAAGTTTTCAGCTCATTTGGGTAAATACCTAGGAGAGTGTTACTGGGTTCGAGGTAAGACTTTTTAGCTTTGTAAGAACTGTCTTTCTAAGTGGCTATATCTTTTTTTTTTTTTGGTACCAGGGATTGAACTCGGGTCCTTGCACTTGTAAGGCAGGCCACCGAACCACTGAGCTAAATCCCCGGCCCCTAATGACTATCATTTTGCATTCCCACCAGCAGCAAATGAGTGTTCTGTCCCTCCATGTTGAAAAATAGTAACATCAATAGAGAACATTTGAAAAAAAATGGTCATTAATGTGTGTGATGTTGCATACTTAATAAAAACTGATGCATTACCTTTCTAAAATCTAATCAAATACAGGCCAGATGTGGTGGCACACGCCTGTAATCCCAGAACTTGTGGATCGTCACAAGATTGAGGCCTGCCTGGGCTACATAGTGAGCTCAAGGCTAGCCCCACCTACATAGCCAGATGCTGTCTCAAAAAATCTAATCAGATACAAAAATGGCATGTATAAAACAGTACTATAAATTCAGATGTTTACTTTTGGTTCTTTTAACATCCCTAAAAGATGGTGAGAAAGCAGATATCTCGGTGAACATGTATGAAGACATCAACATTATCACTGGCGCACTTAAACTGTACTTCAGGGATTTGCCAATTCCACTCATTACATATGATGCCTACCCTAAGTTCATCGAGTCTGCCAGTAAGTACAGATGCCTATGTCCCCACGACCCTGACCAACTCCCTCCCCGGTAGTTACTCTTCCTGCTTTTTCTGATGAGTATCTTGAATGTGTTTTTAAATATTCAGCAAACATAAAAATCTATCAGATTGCTGTGAAAGTTTCTAAAATCTTATTCTTAGTTTCTATAATTATCCTGTATGTGAATAAGTTAAAACAGATCATTAACAATTCAAGGATCACCATTTTAGATCAAGAAGTCATTTAAAATTCTAGTGGAGATGAAAATTAGATAAATATTCATTTGTAAATTTTTATTTATGCTACAGAAATCATACCTATAACTCATATTTCATTTTTTAAGGAAGGGAAATCTTAAACAGGTTTTAAGTATTGGCGTTGCTTTTTTAGAAAAGATAGGCTATTTCTGTCATTTTGCTTTTTCTCTTTAAAACCATATGTTGTCTTGATTTTTAAATAACATGACTTCCTTAGTAACACTGATTTGCTTTTTGACTTTGAAATTTCACGCAGTACAAATTTTGTTCAGAACTTTAGTTTCCCCTCAGTGCTTTGGTGGAGAATTTCTGTGGTTACTTCCTTGGAGCCCTGATTTCTCACAGGTCAGCCTGATCTCTCATGTAGATAAACAGCCATGAGAATTACACTGTTTAAAACAGTCAAAAATCAGGAACTATTCTGGGTCTTATTCTGTGGAGATTTAACTCCTCTCAGTGCCCATCACAAACACACTGAGAGAGCTGACAGGCTCCTGCTGTGGGTAAACATTCCTCCCTGGAGCAATCAATGAGTCGGATCTGCACTCTGGAAAGCACCTCAGGGTAAGGGCTTTTCCATCCAGGTGTTCTGTTCCTGGCCTACGATGTGTTGCTTGGGATCAGGACTGACAGTTGGTAGGGCCCAGGATTTAGCTCAGTGGTTCTGCCACCTGCCTTGCAAGTGCAAGGAACCAAGTTCCAAAAAAAAAAAAAAAAGTTGAAAAAACTGATAGCCGACTCCATGCTGAACTCAGAGGCACACAGTTAGCAGGGAACAAAACAGGGGTTCCTGCCCTACGCCACTCCCTGATCTGGGTAACATCCAAGCCTTCTCATGGGATTTTGAGATTCCTGGTCCCACAGATCCTGATGACTCCCTCACCTCTTTCCCTATACGACCCTGGTTGCTGGGGAAAACCACCTCTTTCATGTCGTTCCATTTGCTGTTGGAGGATTTGTTTCTGAAAGAGCTTTTCTGTCTGAAATTGCAAACCCCCTTTCCTCAGAGTGCTGTTGAACCCACATCACCAGAAAAGATCATTCCTAAATCAAGGTGGAGGTGCCTTATAATTCCAGGCATTTCAATATGTCATTTCTGTGCAAACACTGGCTAATGCCTGCGCATAATACAAATGTTCATGGTGCACATTTGATAATGGCAGCATTATGAAACCTTGTCTGTCTTTTCCAGCAGAAAAGGTGATAGAATTCTTTAGACCTATACACACAGGCATCTCTTAAAAGGTAGGAAAGGAAGATGAAGTTAATGGGTATAGAGCAGTGCTGGCAAACTAATGGCACACATGCCAGAGCAGGCTGTTGTCATTGCAAGCTCTAGAAGGTTCACCATCCCTAATCCAGGGTGTATATGAGGTGCCACGAATCAGGCCATTCACTTTCCATCCATGGTGTCATTTTAGAAAAAAGGCAATGTCACAGTATGTCATCCGGCCAAGGTCATGTCACTGGAGGGGGCAGCCCTGACACCCAAACCAACTTGTCAAAGCCCTTGCTCTCTCCTCTGCACACTGCCTGGCTAACCTGATGGAATAGGTAGGAAAATAAGTTCCAAGGGACAAAGAAGGGAGGGGAGGGCCCCCTACAACAGTTACTCTTCTGTATCTTCCTCTCTTGACCCCTACGACTGTCTGTGGCATTTATTAGCATCCTTCGCCAACAAGAGATTAGAGTTCATGTGAAGGCTGCCTTCTGCAAATGCAGGTGGGACTGTGCTGTAGCAGCCTTGCTCAGATTCAGCATTAAAGCTGGAAGGGAGAGGCCACAGGACACACAAAGGGATGGCCAGACCACCCATGTTTGGAGGGCACTCCCCTTGACCCCTGTGAACCCTGGAACTGCCTGCCCTTTCCCTCACTTCCTCTCCACTAAGATACTTTGGCTGTCCAATACAGAGGACAAGGAGACAGAACTTTCCCCTGGGCATGCTCAATAAGCCAGCATTCACAGACGCTCTGAACCCCTATGAAAACCACACTTCATGGGGAACTTTTGGTAGAGCTGAGTGTGGGAAACGATCCTCCAGCCCAGTAGTCACAGTTTTCTTCCCAGAAGATCTTAGAAAAGCCACATAACTCTGTTGTGTAACCCTGAGTCAGATAAATGCAAATAAAACTCAAGGTACTTTGTCCCATGGAACTTCGGATTTCCTGAAGAGAATCCTGGAAGGAGAACTTCCTAGTTTTTCTCTGCTTTTCCCGGAGTCACCCCCTTTACTTAAATTTTATTTTTCTTGGATATGAGTTTCTGTATATACAGAATTAACAAGATGTGTATTAAACATTTTTATTAGGTCTCAGTCCATTCCTTTCCCACCTCAGCTACACTGATGGAGACTCCATGTTCTAGTTGCTAGCCCAAATCTTGGGTCCTTCTTCCTTCATATATCCCTCTTTAGGAGATCTTACGGACTCTGCCTTCAAAACACAAAGAACCAAGCAATTCCTTATCACCTTCACTTCCACCTGGTCCAAGTTACTATCATTCTTCCTTTCAATTTTTTCCCCCCAATTCTGGGCATTAAACTCAAGGACCTCACACTGAACCTTTTTTTATTTTTTTGAGAAATGTTCTCTCCAACTAAATTGCCCATGCCAGGCTCAAACTTGGGGTCCTCCTTCCTTGACCTCCCATACTGCTGGGATTACAAGTGTGCACCGTTATGAACAGCAGTCCATTTTTGTAATAATGACTGGAATGGTCTTTCTGCCTTTACTTGTGCACTTCTCTAGTCTTCGTTATGCATGGTACCCGAAGGAGAGAGAACCGCGGAAGTGAATGTCAGATCATGACACATCGTCTGTTCAGAACCTTCCTGTTTCTCTCTGTAAAAGCTAAGCCCTTCGATTTGCCTTCCCTATTGCTGGTCTAACTTCGACATGCGATATGTTCGCTCCTCCTTGCCCGCTGACCTGCAGCCACGCTATTCGCAGCTTTCCTTTACCGGCACACCCCAGGGCAGGACCTTACATGGCTGCCTCCCTCACAGAACCGTCTTTCCTCCACATCTTCACGCAGCTCATTCCCTCCTTCATAGTCAGAATCCTCTTTCTCATTGGTCTTTCTGACCACCCATTTAAAACTGCAGCTCCCCCACCCCACTGATATTTCCATAGCACCTAATTCTACTGTCTATGAACCAGGCACTATCATGTTTTACAGAGTAAGCTCCTGTGAGCAAGGAATTGTGTTTGCTAGAAACTCTTCACTTTCATCTGTGGTTGGTTTGTCCCTGACTCCATTATATCACCATCGAGTTGGTTTGTTTTATAGGTTGAAACACTAGGATTTGGGGCCTCGTGTCTGTAACTGTCACATTCTAATCAGCCGTAAGCCTTCCCAGCACTTCAAGTCTGCTATTCTGATTAGGACTTAGCAGCATGGAGTCCCACTGCAGTTGCCCTGGACTCCAACATTTAAGGCAGCCCACCATCCTGGCATTTTGAATTCTTGTACCAGAGATCGAACTCGGGTCCTTGTGCTTGCAAGGCAGGCGACAGAACCACTGAGCCAAATCCCTGGCCCCCTGGCATTTTGATAGAAGCAAGAGTATACTATGGTGCTCTTAGAGCACCAAATTCTAAAGATATACATTGTTTCTAATTATAGACATCACTGATGAATCAAATACAGACTGTGACCTCAAAGGAATGTGCTAGTTTTTTGGCCCACACAGCAGAACTAAAATACTGACTAAAGATGTTCTTCCATGTTAACACCTTTGGAAGAGATACATTGATTTCAGGGATTCCAACATCATGCGGATCATTTGGAATTGCCTTCAAGGCCTGCAGTGCAATCTTCTGAGTATACTAAAGGAAAATACTTGTTTATTGAAGAGAAATTTAAGTACAGTGGATCCTTGACTTAATGAACTCAATTGGTTCCCAAAGGCTGGTTGTAACTAAGTCAGTACAGCTGAGATCTGGGTGTTTACCTGAGTACACACTATAGACAACAAGAGGCAGATGAGTCTTCCATTAACCTAATCAACCCAAGTTGTTCATATGTCAGGCCAGTCGTAACTAAGTAATGAATAAAACACGTAAATACTGGATGATACATTTTTGTTTAAAAAGAAAAAGGGCTGGGTTGCAGCTTAGTGGTAGACTGCCTGCCTGGCATGGCTCCACACACACCAAAAAACCTATAAAAAGAATATTCCTGAAGTCCAGGGGGCAGTGGGGTGGCATGGCAAGTTTGCCATCAGTGAGAGGGGATTTTCAATACTTTGAACATCACGTCATCCCATTCATGTGTCTAACTGTACAGTGACCTCACAAGAGTGTATTTGAATAAACAAAACACTGTCTACACACATCTGAATTTTATAGTTATATCCTATATATCTAAAAAACAGTTGCCAGACTTTTAAGATACTCAAGTGAAAAAAGGAGACTCCTCCCAAAAAAGTCCAAGTGAACAGTGTTACCACACTGAAACTCCGAGCCCTTGGAAATCTGGGCTTGAATCTGAAAATTATCTTCCAAAGCTGTGGGCAAGGATCTGTGAGAAAGTGTCCCCACCAGCTTTAGAAGGGCAGCACAGAGAATACAGTGAGCCGTTTGTTCCTGTGATCTGGTAAAGCTTTTCTCCTTGTCACTCTTCTATTTTAGAAATTATGGATCCTGATGAGCAACTGGAAACCCTTCACGAAGCGCTGAAACTCCTGCCACCTGCTCACTGCGAAACCCTCCGGTACCTCATGGCACATCTAAAGAGGCAAGTTGCAGGCTTGGAGTCTTACACTTGTATTGCATCCAAGGTCTAAGAATAAAATGAAAGGTGAAAGAAAGGACAAATGATCTTTTGAATGAATAATTGAATAGCTACATTGTCTTCTTGTGAGAAGTTGCACTAGTTGAGAAAGAATGCTAAAAATTCCCTGTGGTCCTGTACTGAGTAGAGACCTGATTCTGACACGGGTGTGTTGCCATTCTGGTACATGTTTGCAGATACTCCACAAATGCAAGTATGTGGCCAAGGGTACACTAGCTTTTGTGGCAGGAGAAAGGCTTATAGCTGCAGCGTAAAGCAAAAACAAGGCAGCTCGCTTTTCTAATTTTCTTGCTCCAAAATAAGCACTTGAGACTTAGTGAAGGGATCTTAGGTTATTGAATGTTGCCAGCACTGAAATTGGTATGAAAAGTCATAGGGCAGGGTCAGCGATTTAGCTTAATGGTTCTGCCACCTGCCTCTTAAGCACAAGGACCTGAATTCGATCCCCAGTACCAAAAAAAAAAAAAAAAAAGTCATGGGTAAAGGGAGAGATAGAAAAGAAAATATTTCAGCTAGTTTGGGTTTAACACTTTTTAAAGTGATTAAAGTGATGGTGCTGTAGCTTTATTTCCTGCTCGATCACCTGCGTTCTCTACCAGAATAAGCAAAATTTTTACAATTATACAACTTAAGTGTTAATGGTTTTAAAGTTTCAAAATATAAAATCATTTAGAAACAAAAAACTTCATATGCCCATTAGTTACTTGTGAGTGTTTGCATTTTTCCTCTTTAAAAATTAAGCACCATGAGTTAAAAATCTCTCCTTAATATGCTTACAACTCCACTTAGAAATTCAAGCCTGCTCCATTTTGCACATAATTAAGTGTTCCACACTAAAAGAATTCTCAAATTATTGTCTGTGCTATTGCTGTAGTAGTAAAAAGAATAGAAGCAGACTCCTGGACAGTGGCATTTACTCCGAGTCATTTCCTATTACTGTCACAACTATTTTCTCCATAGGCACTCAATAAACTCTCTAACTTGCACAAAATACTCCACAGGAAGCAAGCAAGCCAAAGAGGAGGGAAGGCAGAGGGAGCAGTCAAGGTGACCCAGTTCCCTTGCCGCTGCAACGTGTCCCTGCAGCTGTAGACTGGGGCAAGAGAATGCAGTCGGAAGTGAGCCCAGACGGCCCACACCTTCACTCAGCGAAGCCTAAGCCATCACTAGAGGCGAATGTTCCTTACTCACGTCATCTCCTTCAGAGTCAGAGAAGTGGCAGGAGAGCTGATAAATGGATGCAAACCCTTGCTGTGAATTTCATTTCCCCCGTGCTCAGGAACAGCGCAGAGCCCCATGCCTTCCGCTCATCCTGTTCCTTCCATTGTGTTTTTCAGAGTGACTCTCCACGAGAAGGAGAATCTCATGAATGCAGAGAACCTTGGAATTGTCTTTGGCCCAACCCTTATGAGATCCCCAGAACAAGATGCGATGGCTGCACTGAACGATATAAGATATCAGAGACTGGTGGTAGAGCTGCTTATCAAAAATGAAGACATTCTATTTTAAATTTTTAATTGGAGGGAAAAGAAATGTTTTACAAATGAATGGTGTTTTATAGTAATTTAATTGGCTCCATTAGCTGAATTATTTCTTGGTTAGAGGTTTGGGAGATGAAAATGAAGGAACTGTCATTTCTGTAGCTCCACTCTGCTGTCCTTATAAAACAGTGAATACACGCTTTCCAGTTCTAGTAATCCTGGGTGTTTATCATGTTATGAGAAACTCAAGCTATATTGCATGATTACCCCTCATTTGGTAAGGAAACCCCATGCAACAAACACAGACCTGCACCCACTCCGCCTCCGCCCTGGATAGTCTGTGGTTGTAACCCAGCATGTTTCACAGAGTAAACCTGTTGTGACTTTGCTTTTGGGGTCCATGCCATTGGTTTCTGCTGCTTGTACAAACATGCGTGCACACATACACACACATGGATAAACTGCACCCCTGGCTGTTGCGTTACCATAGATTATATCCTACTCTGACTTTTCACAAAGGATTTCTAGTTTCTCTCAAGCTCTTCTCTAACATTGTACTTTCTTTCCAGCAAAAGCAAAATGTGCTTTCAGCTTTACTTTACCAAGTTATCCTACCAATAAAATGTACAACACACAACATTTTCTGTTAAATTATTTGGTTTTTCAGTTGTAATTTTGTATTTTTATCTGGCATGCATTAATTTATTAAATTTGGCTTTTAGAAATCAGAAATATTGATAGCTTGCTGTTTTGGTTTTGCCACGAGTGGGAGTATTTGACCATCTAATACTCAGTACTTTCCTGTCATTTATTAAAAGGTTTTTTTTGGGGGGAGGGTTTGTGGTAAGCTCTTGAAATAATCTAAAACTGCTTCGAATCAAAACACCCATTCATTGGATTTCTCCCCACACACACACCATTACTCTGGCTGAAATCTAGACCATTTTCTTAACTTTTCAAGCAAGCAGACCAGGAGTTCCTTATAGACTTATCAAAAGAAACGTTAACTAAAAAGGACTTTTTCAAAAAACATGTTTGATGTTTGTTAAAAACGGGCTGACATGCCTGGAGCCTGCATCTGTTCCTGGTACTCTCACAGCCCGTGAAGCTTTGAGCAAATAACACTCCAGAGTCTGTTGCCTGGCCTGGAAAATGAGCATCTACCTAAAACCAAAGTTCTGTCCTGCTTTAAAAAGTAAAGTAATAAACCAGATGTGGGGACGTGCCTATAATCCCAGTGACGTAAGAGGCTAAACCAAGAGGTCACAAGTCCAGTCCACCTGGGTGAGTTAGCAAGACCCCCCCCCCATCTCCAGAAAAAGGGGAAGCAATAATAAAATAGAACATTTCTGAGCTTTTAAGATTCTCTCAAATAATGGGGCCTGGCAGAAATAGCTTTTCCAACTCTCCTTTCAAACCAAGTAGGAAGTTGGTAGTATGCATTCATTAAGATTTAATCAGTTCCCTGGCAAGCGTACTTCACAGATCAAAAGCAGCCTTAGTGTTTAGTGCCTCTAAGTGTCCTCCACTTTAAAGAAAAAGGGAAAGCGTAGCTATTGAGGGACTGTTCCATCACAGCTATCAACCACTGGCCTATGAAAATGTCACTGCACTAGGCATCATCAAATACATAGATTGATAAAAGTAAACCCCTGCTCCCTCATCTGCTAATACGCTTGAACTGTTGGTGGCCCTTCTTTGAAATGAAGCAACAGTCCCCAGCTGCTTAGGGAGATTTGCTCAATAATTTCCCAGAAACGTATACATATCTATCTCTGGCCAGTGGGGGAGTTCATAAACCACAGCCTTTCATGAGTTAGAGGTTTCGGTTTCCACTATAGCCTGTCTCAAAAAGCCAATAAAATAAATAAGCAAACAAGTTCGTTACTTAATGAGCTCAAAGAAAAAGCCTCTGAATATTTAGGTTCAGTTTCCTTGGTTTTGTTTTTTTGTGAGTGTTTTTATTTATTTAGTACTGGGGCTAAACCTAGACACTCTTCACATTAAGGTACATCCCCAGTCCTTTTTACTTTTTGAGACAGGGTCTTATTGCCCATTGATTTTTAAAGGGTGGGGGGGGTATTGAGCCCAGGGCCTAGAACACAGTGGGCAAGGTCTTATTACTCAGCCACATCCCCAGCTTCTAATCATTTTAAACAAATATTTTAGAGTTTATTACCCCAAAGCCAAGTAGATACTGACAAGTCTACTTGAAAAGTGAAGTTTTTCTAAAATGTGCACTGGAAAATCAGGGTGCTGAAATTTCTTCTCCCAACCGTATAGTCTTGACATTGGGAACTTAGCTTCTTAGGGAAATCTCTTAAGTGTTTTTATAGACTTCATTTGCTGTATCAACTGTATGGTATCCATATCTGACTGTCAGGTTACAGTGAACCGTGTCCATGGAGGAGCCGAAGCAGTATTGTTCCTTACATGACCATCACATAGCACGCTTATCCCCAAAATGGGCCACTCTGACTGAACTGGCATGCATTGCAGTAGTGCAGAGGCGGCTAAGGAGTATTAGCCTTTCATCTCTGTGACCAAATACCGGAGAAAAGCAACTTAGAGGAGGAGAGGTTTATTTTGGCTCATGGTTTTAGAGGATTCAGTCCATGGGTAGCGGTCTCCACTGCTTTTAAATCTGGTTAGGCAGAAACATCATGGAGGTAGGACATGGTTGTGGGAAACAGCTTGCTACACAGCAGCCCAGAGGCAGAAAGAGCATGAGCCTGTGCTTGTGGCCCCTCCTACTACTGGGTGGGCTGGTCACATTCAGGGTGGGTCAGCACTATGATTGTTGTCCTACCCAACTGTCTGGAAACACCCTTCTAGACACACCTAGAAGTGAACTCCACTAAATTCCTAGGTGTTTATAATTAAACAACTTGGCAATCAAGCCCAACCATAGAGAAGGGCACATCCTCTGATCTCCAGAGATCCTTTGCAGCATCTGCTCCTCTCAGTATGTGTCAGTCACCATTCTAGGACCTGGGACAAGAGCAGTTCCAGTTCTCAAGGAACTTACCATGTCAATCCAGCATAACCATGTTTTAATTTTGTACTTTTTCTCATTGCATCTTGTCCCCTAGGGGCCTCAGCACTAGAAATCAGAAAGCCACAAGACAGGTGTTACTTGTTTTTCTTAATTCCATTTGAGTTCCCTATTCCACTTGGTACTGTGACATTAAACATTTCTTTGACCAATGAAGAAAGCAGATAAAAATGAAAATGGCTTTAGCAGAGCCAGTGACTTTATTTGGAAGCATGAGAAGCCTCCATAACCCGCCCTTGGACAATGTATGCTGTCTGAACCGGGACAGCGTGGACTCTTGAGGGACCTTAGCATTTTCAGCTATGCACTCACTGGTCCCTCATTTCCCTGCATAAAATGAAGTCATCGGTCCCATCATATCCTGGCACACTGTCCACCATGTGTGGGATTGGCCCAAATGAAGGCAGTCAATCTACCACAAGGAAGGTCTCAGTTTCCCTGTCTCACCCTTACCCACAGGAAATAGTCCAAGACTCCAATAGATGCCTGAAACCTCAGAGTACTGACTCCTACATATACCGTGCTTTTTTCCAACACGTACAGTGCATTTTCATCTTAGCACTTACCACATTTCTGTGGATGTAACATTTGCAGTTTGGAGTGCTACAGCAAAATTAGCACAAGTTTCTTTTTCCTTCCTCACAATTTTGCAGATGGACTATTTGTTCTTACCCTTCATCTTAGCGACCTCAGCAGCACGGTTTTCTTTCTTGAAGTTGACAACTTTCACTTTTCCACTCAAAAGCCCTTTGTTGCTTCTCTTTGGCACAACTGAAGAGTCAGTGTCACCATTTCTCCCCCTTGGGGGCCACCATTAAGTAAAACCAGGCTCCCTGAAAGAAGCACTGCAGTGCTACAGTGGCCCATCTGGTAATTACGAACTAGGTGATTCACTGAGGACTGAATACACAGGACAAGGTGTGCGCACTGAAGGAAAGGAAGATTCCAGTCCTAGGATGGAGCAGAACATTGGAAGCTTTCATCAGGCTGCTCAGATGGGTGTATAATTCAAACTTGATTTTCCTACAATTTTGCACTGAATGTTTTCAGAAACCAGGTAACTGAAACCTCAAAGTAAAATCTCAGATAAGGGGAAAACTTCTGTAGTAAAAAATATATTTGGTTTTTGTCCCCAGTTCCTGGCACAGAGTTTCTACACTCCCTGGAATTTCCCGAGTAAGAGAAGCACCTTTTGTTTTTCCAAATGAGCCCTTCTGATCACACTGCAGGGACTTGGGGTGACTCCTAGCTGGCCTCTGAAGCCAGTTGGAGAAGCCAAGTGATTAGAAGACTGGAATTGTCAGCCACACTCACTGACCTCTGGAAGGAGGGGGGGCCTGGAGATCAAGCTCTATAAAAGCTGCTAAATTAGATTTGATAAACTTCCTGAGGGGTAAACATGGTAAACCTCTGCATCCTGCTGCCCCCTCCTTGCCCTAAAGCATCTCTTTTTTCTAGCTGTTCCTGAGTTGTACCCTTTATAATCAGCTGATACACAGCAGCATTTTTTTGAGTCTATAGACCATTCTGGCAAGTTATCAAGCCTGAGGAGGAGTTGTAGGAACCCTTGGTTTATAGCTTCACAATCAGAAGTGTGGGTGGTTCCCAGGGATTTGTAACTGACGTCAGAAGGGGGTGAGATCTTGTGGGACTGAGTCCTTTAACTTGTCAGATCTGATATCATCTACTTCGAGTTGGTGACAGAAGTGAACTGAGTTGTAGAACACCAACTGCTGTTCTATGGTTGGAGAATTTGTATGTAAGGCCCACACATTTGGTGTCAAGAGTGTTGTGAATATAAATACCCCACCATTAAATAAACATTATAAGAGGCCACTGTTTTGGAAACAGTTTCTGCACTGGGCCCTACAAACCAAGCTAAAAATCTAAACAGTCACAAACACTAAAGTTCCACTTCACCAAGCTGAAATCAAGCTGTATCTGACTTTCTGAAAAATCAGGATTAGCGCTTTGTTTAGATAAACTTCCCAAACACTTCAGTTTTAATTGGCCTGATAATAAAGTTCCCTATGTCTTAATCCCTAGTAGGAAAAACTTATCCCGAATTAACCTGATGTTAACCGGTTATTTTTCTACCTACACTTTACACGGAAAGTAACTTTAAAATGACCAATACACTTTTGGATTTTGTTTCTACGTTAGCCCTTTTCTGTCTGTAAAACCAATCTCTGCTCACTTCATGGAAATGCCTACTCCATTTTATGGAGTGAAGGGTTAATCAGTGCTAGAATCCAAATTAAAGTCAATTAAAAAATCTAAATTATAATTTTGTCCTTTGAACTACTCATCATTTATCAAAAACAGACTTTGACAAGCTTCATATTTCCCAAATAGTAACAAGTACAAAAAACTAAAGTTGTTTTCCTTTGGCTTCATATAATCATGGAATTCAGTTATAACACCAATCCTCTAGCAGTGTTATTAATAAAGGTTGTATTGATGATACATTACAGATTCAAACATTTGTTGGTTTCAACATTGTTCTTCTGCCTTAAAGTCACTAGGACCTCAGCAAATGCTTAAGTTTTAAGGTATTTATATTTTACTAGCCCTGTTTATTA